GGGGTAGGCAGATGTCTCCCTTCCTGGATTGTGAGAAGTAACGAATATTGTCAGATCCAACGCTTCATATTAATATTTAATTTCGCCATCATTATTAAAGCCAGTGAGTATCTCCCGAGCACGAGTATCGTGAACGTGTGGACAGCTATGAACTACAGTATTAGTGAGACTGAGACTATAGCCTGTCCAGTTAACTGTCACGTTATGCACTCCTTATCCGTCTTACGTTATAACAAATCTTTCAGCCACATTTTCTGTTGGTTCATTCGCAGGGTGTGAACGATATAGCATATTATAGCTCTTTAAAAACAAACATTATCTGATATATGATACTGATATCACGTGCCATAGTCTTACATGCTGGGTTTTAGTATTATATGTATACTGTTACTCTGAGCTTAGGCAGCTTAAGCAGAACACAGCACCTACAGCTTTGCCTATACTCCTGTCCCCGTGGTTTTATGCACCCCGCATAATTTAGCAAAATTTGATTTTTTTTTTGCATAATTACTTATTATATTCCTTTATCATTCTTTGTTAAAATTAACAGAATCGCATATTTTCACATTTTTGGACTCAGTTTGCATAATTTCAGATTTTTTGTGTGCTTAAAACGACGTGTGCAGCCATACGGTAACCGTTGGTAGAAAAGGATGGAAACGGAATGCCTAACAATATACAACATCTTTGAACAGTTAGTAACATCGATTGTTTCCCCTCTCGCCAGATACAAACTTTTCAATCACAAGTCCTACTACTTTTTTCCTCTGTGTGTGTATACGATCAACCTCTGTATACAAAATCAAACACATCATACACCATGTATATATGTGATATTGATATCTCTACATGATACTATATCATGATTTCGATATTTGGATCCCATAATCATCTTACAAGTACATGTACTAAAAGGTATTACTGTCACTCTGAGCTCCGGGCCTAACAAAAGGATGGAAGCGCGGTATGTTTGCCTCTTGATAGAGATACCCTCTGGGACAATACGACTACTTGAAGTCTAAGGTATCGAAAAAAA